CCCTCATAGACAGTCCCATCTCATCAGGCTCCTGGACTTCATTCACTCACAGCAGCAAATCCCACTCAAGTTTAACGTCAGCCAGGAGCTTGTCACTCCTCAAATTGTGTTTCTCCAAACCAAAGCTCCAGAGGTCCAGCACTCATCACTCACATTAAAGAGAGGCAAAGACAGCATTAAATGTCTCTGCTGGACCGCTGTCCCTGTTTGTGAGGTGACTAACGTCATCAGGTAGCGGTCAAACATTTCCTTTAGTCCTCCTTTTACTGGTAATAACAATTAAGAAAGCCTATTCTTTTTCTCCATTACAATACTGGCCAGCTTCTGCTCAGAGTAGGGTGTGTTTATGTGGCCTCGTTGCTCGCTACCGAATACACAATATAAATCAGTGGAATTTTGAGAAGCTGCACTTTCGATGACCTGCCCTGTCGCTGCACACAAACAATTTTGAGATGAAGAAAAGCTTTTTCCAAGAGTTTCCAGACCATAGATTCCAGTAATACTCAGCTGCCTGGCTGTCAGAGCGCTGAGTTCATGGGTAGCCACAGGCACAACAATAACTTCACACAGCAAAATCGGAACAGATTTCCTGCTTCTTTCTTTGAATGGTTGGAAGTTTGCACTTGTAAAATACTGTCTAACAATAAAATAGCGGTAGGCAAAACAACTGATGTGATATTTCTATATCCTTCTACCAATTAAAGAAACCCAGATACTGGAAAGAAAAAAGATGAGAGATTTTGAGCAGAAAAATCAAACTCTACCAAGCTATGTGAATATCAGCTTAGTTCCTACTGATACACCTACAAACAGAAATTGGGCCGACTTGAGATTTTGTTGCCTTTTACAGGGCCTTTCATGGCTGCAAATTTGCTCAATTAGGCACTCCATGCTGATCCTGGGAGTCTAAGAAGTGGTTAACACCAACAACCAGCTGGAAGTTTTTCACCAGGAGGGTGGTGATGCACTGGAACAGGTTGCCCAAGGAGGCTGTGGATGCCCCATCCCTGGAGGCATTCAAGGCCAGGCTGGATGTGGCTCTGGGCAGCCTGGTCTGGTGGTTGGTGACCCTGCACATAGCAGGGGGTTGAAACTGGATGAGCATTGTGGTCCTTTTCAACCCAGACCATTCTGTGATTCTGTGAACTAATTGAGACACCCGTGGAAAGTCATCTTTGTGCTGGGGTCTGCTGAAATGATGAATCACAGAACAGACTCCTTTAGGCTTTCCTAATACAACGCCTATTGGGCTGAATGACAGTATTTGAAACACACGGTATCTTAACTACAGCAAAGTAGTTGGATTGGATTAGATTTAATGAATGAAGGAGCTCGATGTAGTTAATTACCTAAAATCTTGTGATACAATTTTAGATATTAGGAAATGGAAGATTGTATCCTGTGGTCTGGTGTTTGTATTTCAAGCGGTCACTTAACATTGCAGATTTCAACAGAGTTTAATAGGTCTTCGTCTTGCCTTAAAAGAATCTGTGGTTCTTTTTCTGTGCTACGTGGAAGATATTGGAGACTTTCTTGTACTGAAACTGTGTTTGTGAGCTTTTTTGTATATTTTTCTTTCAATGGGTATGAACACAATTACCTTCACCATCGAATCACAGGATGGCTTGGGTTGGAAGGGGCCTTAAGCCCTTCCAGTTCCAACTCCCTGCATGAGCAGTGCCTCCCAGCAACTCAGGCTGCCCAAGGCCCCATCCAAACTGGCTTTGAGTGCCTCTGGGGATGGAGCACCCAGAGCTTCTTTGGGCAGCTGTGCCAATGCCTGACTACCCTCATAGTGAATAATTTCTTTCTAATGCTTCTTTTAGTTTAAAACCATGACCCCTAGTCTTATCACTGCACTCCCTGATAAAGACTGCCTCCTCAGTTCTCCTGTAGGCTCCCTTCGTGTACTGTAAGGCTGCAGCGAGGTCCCCAGAGCCTTAGAATCATTTGACTTTGAAAGGACACTTAAAGGCCATCTGATCCAACTCCCCTGCAATGAGCAGGGACAGCCACAGCTCCATCAGGTGCTCAAAGCCCCTCCAGCCTGACCTGGAATATCTCCAGGGATGGGGCATCCACCACCTCTCTGGGCCACCCATGCCACTGCCTCACCACCCTTATTGTAAAAAGCTTCTTCATATCCAGTCTCAATTTCTCCTGTTGTAGTTTGAAACCATTTTCCCTTGACCTGTCACAGCAGACCCTGCTAAAGAGTCTGTCCCCTTCTTTCTTATGGCCCCCCTTTAGATACTGAGAAGCTGCTCTCAAGTCTCCCTCAAACCTATTCCAGGCTGAACAGCCTCAACTCTCATCCTGTCTTCATAAAGAAAGGCGTGTTGAGGGACGTATACGTGTGTGTGGCATTTTTACTCGATGCATCTTTTCTTTACTGACAGATTTATAAGGGTCCGGACTGCTCGTTCCGATACACAGGCCTCCAGCTGAACTGTGAATATCGTTTTCGTGCGTGTGCCATTCGCCAGTGCCAAGAGACATCGGGACACCAGGACCTGATAGGCCCCTACAGCTCACCAGTGCTATTCATCTCTCAGAGGACTGAACCACCGACGAGCACCAACAAGGACACTGTGCAAACCACAAGGACACAATGGTCACAGAGCGACCAAGTGTGTGCTGCTGTCATTCTTGCACTTTTTGCTATCTTTTCCATTCTGATTGCTGTTATCATTCAGTACTTTGTAATAAAGTGAAGAAAACAGATTTATTTTAGAATGCTGCCCATTACATTTTACTTTCTCATAATCTAAAAAAAAATTCTGTTCTCTTGCTTTTACAAAAACAGGCATTTAGCACCGGCATTGGGACTGATGCAAACCCTTTCAGCCACTTTAAAATGCTTACTGGTAGGTGTAGGCTGACACACGTTATTAGAATGCAAGCCACAGAAATACAATCTTTTTTTTAATATGCCTTCTTGCAGTACAAACTTCATATGGGGCAAGCAGTGCTTAACGTAAAGGGTTTGACCAGTAAACACGAGTGTAGAAATGGTTTCCTGGCCCACACTTTTAAGGGTTGCTACCGTAACAGGGAAGAATGTGTAGAACGCATTTAAAACTTACTCTTAACAAACTTGTGCTGTATACAATATTAATCTGATGCTGTGAAAGCAATTTAGCGCTGTATTTCTACCTCCTCATTTGTCTTAAATATTTGGAAGGCAGGATACATGATGAAAAATGGAAGGGGCTTTTCTCAGGCAGCAAATAATAAACTGGATGGAAGAGTGTGCACGAAGGAAGCTTCTTACCCGATAAATGTGGAGTTCTTCACTGCAAGTAGATGTCTTGGGAAGACTGCGAGGGGATGGCACAAGTGGTTTATCTTCCCCCCAGGATTTGATGTGTACTCATCAAAATGCCTCTTCTTACGAATCCAGAAGGGAGAGCGAGAGAGAACTTTTTAGATTTGTTACTCAAATTGAAAACTCGTTCTGAAGTTGACCTTTTGATCGGATGCAGTTTATACAGGTGTCTGTGCCCTCCGGTTTGGCCAGTTTGTAGATTTTTTGAGACAAAATTCATTTCTGAATCTTTGCTGTTACCCCGCCACTCACTTGCCATACCCACCAGAATCCAGCACTGCCTTTCGTTTGCTTTTTCTTTTCTTTCTTCCTTTGGGGCACCAAATCAGAAGACGAAGTGTAGTAATTTGCACCAGAAAACTTAAAGCTGCTTTTTTCTTGAGATCCTAATGTTTAATGTAATGTCTCTTTTTGGATACTGTACCAAATCGTTAACTGCATGTAGTTAATGTCGCATTAGAGCACTTTGCAATTGCATAACTCATCAATGTTTTGTGAGCTTGCGTTCGTGAGTTCTTGGATGAGCAGACTGAATTCCATCAAGTATCCCATGGAACATCTCGCTGGATGTCGATGATTGCCAGTGACACAGAGCTTGTAGTGAACTATCTTTGAAAACTCTTGTCTCATCACACTTACGTTCTTTGTTATACACTTTGTAATTAGCTACTTTTAATTTATTTGAGTTACAAGATAGTGGATCATTAATGACTCCTAGTTGCGTTCAGTTTAGCATTTTTAATGGTATTAAACACTTCTGTCAGTCTTAATGATAATAAAAAAGGAACCTCTGTCTCGTGCTTTGAAGATCTCTGAAGACTTTCTCGTACCTTAGAGCGGGCATGTATCGTACTTGGTTATACGTCCAATGAGCTGTGCTGTACAAAACTGTTGCTGAGTTTCGTTTTTGTTTTTAACAAAGAAAAAAAGCAATGGCAAAGAGCCTGGCCTCCAAGTGAGCGGAATGGTCTGTCTTTGAGATGTACTGTATGTTTACATTTGATTTCCAACCTGTCATTTTGACGTCCAGGCCGATTCCTCCCCCGACCACAGTGACAACAGGTGTTTTCTAGAGCCCTCCCCCCGGTGCCACGTTTGGCAGCACGCACGCGGTTGAGTGGAACAGCCCAGAGATTTCTTACGGTCGAATGTCTCAAATGGTAAAGATTTGTTACTACAGTGAAGCTGCGGTGACTTCTGTTTTTCATAGTCAAATCCAAATGAGCTCCTATTTTTGATAGTCATTTAATAGCGTATTTGCCATTTGAGCCTCAGTGCGTATGACTGCATTGAAGACAGTTTTTAATGTAATCTTAATTTTACCTCATATTCTGTACATTCCAAAAAAAAAAAAAAAAAAGGAAAAAAAAAAACTTTTTAAAACGTTATAGTTACACTACCAAACATATCACTTTGCAACTGTACGACGTCGGACTTCATGAAGATGAAACCTGTATAGTCTCATAGAAAATGCATAAACGATGTAGCAAAGTATCTTTAAACTCTGTGGGAAATAAAAGCATCCTTCTTTTTCTTCGTTCGTCCCTTCTGTTCCTCCGCCCTCCGTCCGCTCGGGCGGGGCGGGGCGGGGCGGGCCGAGCTCGGGGCGCGGGGCGCGGGGCCGGGCGGGAGGCAGCGAGGGAGCGCCGTGCGGCAGCCGCGACCCGGCGCCATGTGGGGGAACGGCAGCCGGGCCGAGCCCTGGGCCGCGCCGCCGTGCGACGAGCGGCTGTGCTCGGCGTTGCCGCTGCGGGCGCTCGTGCCGGTGACGGCCGTGTGCCTGGGGCTCTTCGCGGTCGGCGTGGTGGGCAACGTGCTGACGGTGCTGGTCACCTGCGGGCACCGCGACGCCCGCAGCACCACCGACCTGTACGTGGGCAGCATGGCGATGTCCGACCTGCTCATCCTGCTCGGGCTGCCCCTCGACCTGTACCGCCTGTGGCGCTCCCGGCCCTGGATCTTCGGGCAGCTGCTGTGCCGCCTCTCGCACTACCTGAGCGAGGGCTGCACCTACTGCACCATCCTGCACATCACTGCCCTCACGGTGGAGCGCTACCTGGCCGTCTGCTTCCCGCTGCGGGCCAAGGTGTTGGTCACCCGGCGCCGCGTCAGGGCCGTCATCGGCGCCCTCTGGGCCTTCGCCCTCCTGTCGGCGGCGCCCTTCTTCTTCCTGGTCGGCGTGGTGCAGCCCGACAACCGCACCGACTTCAGCCGCGAGTGCAAGCCCACCCCGCGGGCGCTGGAGTCCGGGCTGCTGGGCGCCATGTTCTGGGTCACCACCTCCTACTTCGTGCTGCCCGTCGTCTGCCTCACCGTCCTCTACGGCTTCATCGGGCGCGAGCTGTGGCGCAGCAGGGGCCGCCTGCGGGGTCCCGGCGCTGCCCTCCGGGAGCGGGGCCACCGGCAGACCGTCAGGATCCTGGGTGAGTCCCCCGGCCCCGCGGCCGCGCCCCTGCGGCTCCTCTCGCTCCCGGGAGCCGGCGGGTCCGTCCCAGTCCGGGCTCCCGTCTGACCCACCGGCTGCGTCGCGCCTGTCTGCAAACTGGGCTCCTCTAAGGGCGTCTGACTGGGGGTCTGATTCGTGTTTATAAATGGCCAGAGGGAGGTGAAATGGATGAGGCCGGGCTCTGCTTGGTGGCGTGTAGCAATTGGGCAAGGAGTAACGGTCTTGAACACAGGGAGTTGCACACTGACGTGTGGAAGAACTTCTTTACGGTAAGGATGACAGTGCAGGAGCAGGCTGCCCGGAGAGGTTGCAGAGTCTCCTTCTGTGGAGATACTCAGGGCCCATCTGGATGCCCGTCTGTGTGACCTGTTGTAGAGAACGTGCTTTAGCAGGGAGTTGGACTCAATGATGTCTCGAGCTCCCTTCCAGTAGTGCTGTGGTTCTGCTCTCCTTTGGCCTGGGACCAAAGCAGCCTTAGAGTCCTGTGCACAGAGCATCCCAGCTCACATACAGCCATGGGAGCCAGCACGCCCTGTGAGGTTCACTGATAGCTCATACAAGTGCTCTTCGACTTTCATAGAGTTGCAGAGTCCTCTGAGTTGGAAGAGACCACTAGAGGCCATCTGGTCCAACTCCCCTGCGCTGAACAGGGACACCTACAGCTCCATCAGGTGCTCAGAGCTCCATCCAGCCTGACCTTGGGTGTCTCCAGGAACAAGGGCATCCACAGCCTCTCCAGACAACCTGTGCCACTGCCTCACCACCCTTACTACACAGAGGCAAAGGGCACACCCTTTGCTAACTTACTGGGAAGGCTGCCTGCTGTGAGGCAGGGCTCTCCGACAGAAATGCATGCATCCAAACTCAGAATCTGCTGAACCATCTTTAAAAAGAAAGCAGTCGCCCTTTAGTCCCAGGGCTGACAGCTGGGCTTGATGCTATTCCATTTTTCAACAGCGAGGGCCCTTTAGTTCTATATAAATTTCCATATATCCACATATTTCTATATATCCATATCTTTCTGTGTGATGATTCTTGCTTACCTCAAAGGAGCTGACAGAGTTCTGCATGTGATGTATTCCAGGCACAGACTTGCTTTGGCTTTATTCCTTTTGCTAAGCTCTGAGAAACGTGAGGGATCCTCCACAAATGATTATTCACTTCACTTGCATTCATTTATAAGCAAGAATGATTGCACTTGTGGATACAGTGATACATTTTGCAGTCACCCCATAGGTGACACTTTTAAACCACACGCTTGGCTGTTTCACATCTGCTTCAGCCGTGTGGCTGCTGTAACAATGTTTGTATGTGGTGCAGGTGCTGTGCTAAAACTGCTGTGCCCTGCGGTCTTGTTTTGGGAACTGAGATGTATGTAGGAGCAGTGCTGTAAGCAGCAGCTCTGTGCTTCCACAGGTACGTCTCCTAATTCCAGCTGTGGTTTCTGTATCATCTGTATGACATCACAGGCATCCCCAGGGGGAATCCTTGTTGTTCTGATCCCGTTGTACAGGTGTTGTGCTTCTGTTACATTTTTCTCAGCAAACTCAGCCGTTGGAGATTGTCTGAGATTTTTGTCCATCGCCTCTTAATCCAAAGGCTGACAACTGCACTCAGTGCTGTTCCCATTTTCAACAATTGGATGCCACTTATTTCTGTACATCATTTGTACCGTCTGCAAAACCAGATGGAATTGTGTGAAAGAGAAGGCTGTGGGGAGAGCTGAGAGCAGCCTCTGAGTGTCTACAGGGGAGCTGTAAGAAGGAAGGGGACGGATTCTATAGCAGAGTCCATTGTGACTGGGCAAGGGAAAAAGGTTTCAAACTAAAAGGGGACATTTAGACTGGATATAAGGAAGACATTTTTTAAAGTAAGGGTGGTGAGGCAGTGGCACAGGTTGCCCAGAGAGGTGGTGGATGCCCCATCCCTGGAGATACTCAAGGTCAGGCTGGAGGGGATCTGAGCTGTAGGTGTCCATGTTCATTGCAGGGGAGTTGAAGCAGATGGCCTTTCAGGGTCCCTTCCAAATCAAATCATTCCATGATTCTGTGAAATTGAGAATACAAGATGACTGTTGGATTAACTCACTCCCTAACTATGGTTTGTATTGTTTTGTCTTGTAGCTGTGGTGATCCTGGCCTTTGTAATTTGCTGGTTGCCTTTCCACATTGGCAGGATCATATTTATAAACACCCGAGACACCAGAACGATGCTGTTCTCCCAGTACTTCAACATCTTTGCCCTGCAGCTGTTCTACCTGAGTGCCTCCATCAATCCCATCCTTTACAACCTCATCTCACAGAGGTACCGGGCAGCAGCCTGCAAGCTCCTGCTGCCTTGCCGGCGTGTGAGAAGGGCTCTGGTGGGAATAAAAATGTCCAGGACCTACACAGAGACCAGCAGTGGCATAAGACACAGGTAAATGGGCAGCTCCAAGGCCGTGCCCCAGCAGTGGGTTTCACGAGGCATTCCATGCAAGGAAGGACGCTTCCTCCTGCAAAGAGTCACAGAAGTCACATCTGTCAGAGCTTTGGTAGCGTGTCACTCTCTGTGTGCCAAAATACTTGGATTTTTTGCCAGCAGAGCAAGCAGGGACCATAAAACAACGAGAATGGTGTGAAAGCCAACACTAAAGGGACAGCTGGAGGATATTACTGGTGAAACTGCGGGTTTGGTTTATTTTGTGTTGTTCAGCCACGTTTGTACTCTACGATTCCTGGTGCTTTCTAAACATCTTAACATCAGGGACTGCAAAGCAAGGGGTGACTCGCAGAGAGCCTGTGCTGTTTTAAAGCAGTTTTCTCACAAGGAGACGGACGCAGAAGGAATTGCCCACCGCCATCAGCACTTTTATAAGAAGGGGATGCATGTTTTTATTAACCAGTCTTGCTACCGTGAGTGTGAGTTTCCAGGACAATTTAACTGACTCTTCCCCTGGGAGAGCATATCCTCTGCACTCAGCTCTGTTGATCTGCCCCATGCCATTAAACACATCTCTTAATTACTGGCAACCAATTTAGATATCGCTGCTTACATCCTCTTGGCAGTGTTTGGTTAGCATTAGTGTGTAACCACCCGGCACCGGGCTACCCCGGTACAGAGGTCGTGATGTTTGAGATTCCCTTGGGGTAAATTAAGGGGGAACATCAACAAATGGCTGGTTAACAGTTTCATTCAAATTATTTATTGCCTGGTGATTTTTGGTGCTATATAAGAAACCATAGAATCGTAGAATGGCTTGGATTGGAAGAAAGCTTAAAAACCATCTAACTGCAACCCTGTGCCATGGGCAGTTCCAGCCAGCAGCTCAGGCTGCCCAGGTCCCCATTCAGCCTGGCCTTGAGTGCCTCCAGGGATGGGGCACCCACAGCTTCTCTGTGCAGCTGTGCCAGGGCCTCACCACCCTCTGAGTAAAGAATTTCCTCCTAACATCTAACTTACATCTCCTCTTTTTAAAGCCATTCCCTCTTGTCCTGTCACTCTCAGACTGTGTAAAAAGTCACTCTTCCTCCTGTTTATATGCTCCCTTCAAGTATGGAGGGCCGCAATGAGGTCTCCCCAGAGCCTTCTATTTTCCAAGCTAAACAAGTTCAATTCCCTCAACCTTTCTTCATAGGAGACTTCTCCAGACTTCTGAGAATCTTCATGGCCTTCCTCTGGACCAGCTCCAGCAAATCTGCATCCCTCCAGTGTTGGGGTCTCCAGGTCTGGACGCAGTACTGCAGATGGGGCCTCACAAGGGCAGAGCAGAGGACAGTCCCCTCCTTGTTCTTGCTGCCACCCCTCTGCTGACGCAGCCCAGAATACTGTTGGCCTTTTGAGCTGCAAATGCACACCTCTGGCTCATGTTCAGATTTTTGTCCACAAGGACCCACAAGCCCTTCTCGGCAGGATTGCTCTCAGTGGGTTCTTTTCCCAGTCTGTACACATATCTGGGATTTTCTTGACCAAAATGGCCTTGTTGAACCTCATTAGGTTCCTGTGGGCCCACTTCTCAAGCCTGTACAGGTCCCTGTGGATGACATCCCTTCTTTCTTCATATCACTTGCACCACACAGCTTGGTATGGTCCCAGGACGGACCTGTGGGACACCACTCATGAGGATAATTTATGATGATATGCCTCGTGTGATGTTATAATATATACGCTGTAGAGAGAGAAAGGGGTTACCACCATTGTGGGACCCAGCAGTGTCCCAGCAATGCTCATGGTGGGCACACTCCAGCTGTCAGCCTTCTGTGCTCAGACAGCCCCCCTGAGAACGTATGCAGTCACCATTTGTCAGTGAGTCTGAGATCTTATGTGGTCATCAGGCCCCTCTAACGCTGTGATAGAGGTGTGGCCCTAACCCTGCACAAGTGCATTTCAAGGTTTGGGGCACTCTGGAAATAGGTGGTTGGTCAGAGAGGTCTCGCTCTCCCCCTCCCCAAATGACTGCTCATTGGCCCTCTGTGGTGCGCAGTGAAGTTGGCAGTATCTCTTCTTCCCCCACTGTTATTTATTGGAACTCAGCAGGTCTGTGTGTTCTTACAGGATATGGATTTGGGTCTGGTGGAATGCACCTCTCCTTAGACAGCTTCCTCCAGCCACTTTTTATCTTGTTACTACGGTGGTCTCCTTTTAGTCTTCTACCAAGTGCTTGGGACATTAACCTTCTGCTTCTCAGTCTCTTCCACAGTGCTCTGTCATGTTATGTTCTTGTGGTGCAATGTGCCAAGGTAGCCAAGCTCCCCTGGCTGAGCTGCGTGCCTAGCATGCTGGCTGTGCCTGGACCTACAGCTGCAATGCAAGCCATAAAACAACATGCTAGCTTTGCTCCAAAGGTCTACAATACAAACTCAAGCTGAGCGACTTAGGCACAAGTATTTGTTAGGCAGGGAGGGCTACAGGGAGTTACAGTGCCATTTCTTTGGAGAGTGAGTACATTTTACCTCTGTATCTTACCCACTTTCCTTCTGGCTGTAGTAAAATAAGCCTGGAACAAAAATCAATGAAGTGGGACTGCACTTAAACACACATGCTTAGTTCGTACTGAAGTTACCATCTGTCCTACCTGAAATGTGGACTGTTCCAAATCCAGCTTATGGATCTCAGCACAGTAGGGCTGAACCCAGGCCTTCTCCAGCCTTAAAAGTATGACCAAACTCTTCATTTGACTCTGAGTCACCAAATTAAATACGTGAAAGACACAAAGCTCCGCAGCTCTTGGCACACACATGGAGCATTCTGCCCACATCAGCTTCGCTGCAGCTTTGGGGCTGGGTTGGTTTGCTTTTGCTGGGTGGTGCCCTTCAGTAAAATACATCAAAATGACAGAACAGCTGGCACATTGCAGAGGTAGGAGGAAGAAAGGGAACCGTTGTCGCACTGCTGTGCGGCCACGCAGCCCTCTCCTGCATGCCTGCAGTCTGCTGGTGATGCCTCTTCTTTTTCCTCTGGCTGCTGAGCTGCACTGGTCCTGGTGCCCACTGCTGGGGTGTGTGGCACCTGCCTGCACTTGGCATCCTCCTGCTTCCTGCAGCAGGCTGTGAGGAGGGGGTCTGATGTGCTGGCCAGACCGTTTGCGTCCTCGTGATAAATACCCTTATGGGAGCAGTACAACAACACATGCAGCAAACCACATCTGTGAGCTTGTAATGCCTTTTAATTAATGTTCCATCCCCATTAGGGCATATCCTTCAGAAATAAATTGAGTTGGTGAGTTTCCTTAGAATTACCGAGCCTGGAATCGCTGTGTGTGGCAGTCAGCACCAGGCCAAGCAAGCAGAGAGCCTGCAAACAAACAGCAGCACTGGGTTATTCGTTCCCACAGCACTGCTCAGATGCAGCTTGGTTGTCTTTAGAAGGAATATTTCAAAAGTCATTTGTTTATGAACTATTAGGAAAAGTAGCAGAGAGCTTCAGAAACATACACAGAGAAATGACAGTAATAAAAAGAGAGAAATGGGGAAATGTGAAAGCAAAGCACAAAGAAAGGAGGAAAAGAGAAAGCGTATCCTCATGCATCTTGAAGGATCATTCAGTTGAAATGCATGGGGGGAAAGCTGTGATCCGTGCACGGATGACTCTGGAGACTTCTTGCAGACCATAGTTAGCTGTACCCATACAGACATTAAACCAGGGACCAGAAAGTCACTCTCCAACTTTCATCTTAATTTCGAACTACCCGATTTCTGTACTCGTCATGTAGCTGTACACTTCACATAGAAGTCCACAATAAATGCAGGATATGATATTCCCTTGGTTTAGCATAACCTCATTCGCATTTGCAGTCATTGTTTCACTTAACATGACTCTAAAATAAAGTTTATCTTAGCTTATCCAAATTAGACAATCGCTATTAGAAACCTACTTGAAAAATTGAATTTCTATTCTAAAATAAATGTTGTGGAAAACTACTGTAAGCACAGTATTTCTCTTCTATTTAATCAGCTTGATATGCTTGTGTTAATCAAAGCAGAGCACATCTGAGGCTGGCAGGACCCTCTGGGTCCCTCTGCTCCATCCCCCAGCCCAGCAGGGACACCCAGAGCAGGGTGCCCAGGGCCACGTCCAGGCAGCTCTGGGAGATCCCCAAGGAGGAGACCCCACAGCCTCTGTGCAGCCTGTGGCAGTTCTCCATCACTGCACAGCACAGAAGGGCTCCTGGTGTTCAGAGGGAACCTCCTGTGCTCCAGTTTGTGCCCTTGGCCTCTGGTCCTGGCACCAGGCACAACTGACAGAGGCTCTGGTCTCTGGCACCCTCCTCTAGGAATGTATGGACATTGCTCTGCAAAGCAAAGGCATGGACATGAGATACTCTGTTTTAACTAAACCTCCTTCTGAACTGTGGCAACAAATGGGTCTTCCGGTCCATGCAGACATTCTGCATTTCTTTCTGGTCTATTACGAAAAGACCATCAAATCCTCAATTCCTTTCTCCAGTCTTCTTTAGAAGTGTGGAACCAGGCAAACAGAAATAGTTCCAGGCACATCTTTTGCAAGAAATCACAGCCTTGAAATTTCCATTCCCAAAACAGTACTGCTCCAAAAAGCAGTTGGCAGAACCAAGGCAGGCAGCACCCAAATTCCTGGGAAAGGGCAAAAGTGCAGGATGCTGTGAGGAGCACAGGGACACAGCACAAACCCTCCAGAGAAACCCAGCGTGGCCCAGGAGCTGCCCTTGGGTTGGGGCATTGTACCAGCAGCATCTGCAAATAACAAAGGGGTTTGCAATCCTTGTTGGTTTTTGTTTTGTTTTGTTTTGTTTTGTTTTTTCCCCTTTAATGTATTCATGAGAACAAAACAACCAAAAAAATAGAACTGGACAGAGGGGCAAAAAAAAACCTGAGTGTTATCACTGTGTTAGATGGAGGTTTTGCATGCTCACAGCGATTGATCTTTTGGGAAACAAAGACCTTTGAAGCAGCTCAAGATGTGGCTAAAACGATGCTGTCTGCAAAGGCAGCTTGCATCTGGCCCAGCAGAACAGAGAGGTGCAGGGACATGTTTTCTTCCTACAGCCATCCCCTTAAAATCAGATTTGGTGCTGTTGCTGCCTTGTTCCCACAGGAGACCAAAAAAACCTGAGGATATGTCTGTGATTATATGAAGATTATACAAAATAAGTGGAAAAAGAGCTGGCTGAATAAGGAGCGGATATAATCAAATCTGCTCTGAATTAGCTGGAGTGATCAGATGTCACCCTGATGTTCGGTGAGTTCAGCCTGATGTGAACAAGCCCTGATGTTCCTGGCTCAGCAGATTGGATTTGCTTTGGCAACAGGCTTCACTTCACCAAAAGAAGCCACTTGCCTATTGAAATGACTGCCTGCAGATACACCTCCAGTGCCTTAGGGAACAATTTGCAATCTGGTGTCCTGTTATTATGTGCCACTGTGCAGAGGCTATCATGAGGATTCCCTGGAGCTCAGGAGAGAACCAGTGGGAGCTGGTGGCTCAGCACAGCAACTGTGCTGTGGCTACACCAATATGTGCTGTGAGAGGATAGGGGCAGAGATGAAAT